CTAATCCTACTCTCTACTGATATTTCCAGGCCATTACTCTACAACAGGTATCAGCACACTTTTTCTATAAAGGGCCAGATAATATTTTAGGCTCTGTAGGCCCTGATGTAAAACCAAGGCTATTGGGTAGGTCTTATATAACCATTTTAAATGTAATTATTTTAAGATGCTAAAACCATTCTTAGCTTGCAAGTGGTACATAAACAGGTGGAGGACTGGATTTGGTTCTTGGACTTGTAGTTTGCCAAATTCTACTCTCCAGTTTCTTATAAAATACTATCTTAGCTCATGCCTCAACTAAATGTCCTCTACTTTATCTTGCCTTTATCATTTGCCCATATCATTTACAGACATGCTGGTGACTGTCATACATATTGATGAATTACTCACTTGAAGAAGTATCAAAAAAATCAGGAACAATCTCTTGAGTCCTAAATATGCAAAAGTCTAATTCTGCAAAGTAACAATAACATCATAAAAAGAAAATTTATTTCTGTTCATGCATCTCTCCTTTCTATCAAAAGTTCCTAATTCAAAAATGCATTTCTTTTTCATTCAAGGAATTCACTCACAAATATACAGATACTGCAATAAGTAGAAATAATTTTTCCATTTCAAAGACACATATAAGATCTGGTGTCATAACACAGTATGAGGCATTAGGTACTCTCCATGAAAAGACCGGAGACTATGAGTAAAAAATGTAAATTATCAGGAGTACAAAGGAAAACTTTTAGTTCATCACCACATTATTTTGACTATGCAGAGCTGGTTGCACAATTCTGAGTCTGAATGGACTCTCAAATATGGGTCCTGGCTTCAGGCCCAAAGAAATATTTCTTCTTAGAGCCTCAGAGTTCCTTGTGTTTTTCAAATGGGAATTGGAAGTACAAGTTATTTCTAATGTTATTGTTGTCAGTGTTAGGCCCAGACCTCTTTCCACTGCTAAAAGAAAGCCAAAAGGACTAGATGGCCAGGAAAAGGGACTCTCATCTGGCAGTCCCCTCTCACGGTGACTAAGTGACGGTTCTTCTGATAGAAAAGAGATTTGAAATGCCTCTGAGGGTTGAAGTGCCTCAGATCAAGTGAAACTAAGATGATGTTACAAGTAGTGATAATAAAGGATATATGACGTGACTGTTTCGGAGGCACAAGAGGCACACTCCCAGAGGTTCAGCTTCAAAACTTACCCTCTACTTCTTCAAGCACGAGGGACTAGAAAATGGATCAGTAATGAGGTTTATAACAGCCATTGTAACTTCAAGAAGGAACATCCATTCCTTACAAACCTGTAAGAACTTTGTGAGACTCTCTGCTGAATCGAACTTGAAAAAGTATATTGATAGCCATTCCACATGGCCGGCCACATATGAATTAATGTAGAAAAAGATGGTAGACTCTAAAGTTGAAAGAGGCAAGGAAATGATTAACAGCAGAGAAAACAATAAATAAAAGCAGATAAAGCTTCATAAACTTAAAATCATCTTCGTCACAAACAATTAATGCTTTGAGGCACTACAGAATAGCACACTGCAATAGGCCTTATTTTCCATTCTCTGAATCTTGTTACTTTACTAATTCCAAACTTTTGAAAAGTCAAAAATTTTTAAATCCTAATTAGTGATGAAGTCACGATGAAGATTTTCAGGAAGACTTGAGGAGATTATCATCTTGCAGGCTGATACTACTGATACTAAATTTTTAAAATATGAAGTCCAATATTTAGGGCAAGGAGATAAAGTATCCTGATCAACAGAGACTGATTTGGGCTGGCCTCCAATAGAAGACTGACACTTTGTGACCCCTTTTCTGACTCCTATTTTAAAGAGGAGTCCATTTTTCAACTTATGCAATCAGAAATAGTTTGAGATAAGGAAAGATAAAAAATGAGGCTAATTTTTCTCTGCCCAAAACTGATTGGAAGAACGAGTGTAAGAGCACTGACTTTATCAGAACTGCCACTCGGATGAGAATAGTGTTAAAGCTTTTGTGAAAACTCTGACAAAAGGCAGGAAGTATTACCTGAAACATTTTACTTCAACAAAGTGAATTTAAGACATGTTTACATATAAGTGAAACACTAGGATAAAAAGGAAGAAGTACTATGAGAAACATGTGAATAAATTTGAAAATATTTAGCACGAAGAGAGAAAAGGCAAGGAACTTAATAACTATGATCTGATATGAATCATCACAAAGGGAGATGAATAAATATCCTTGATGAAGATAATATAACTCCAAGAAGCATAGAAATTTAAAGGTAACCTTTTATGATTAAAACTCTCAACAAATACATAATAAAGGCAATATATGACAAGCCCACAGATGATGTCATACTCAGTGTTGAAAGGTTGCAAACTTTTTCTTTAAGATCAGCAACAAGACAAGGATGCCTCATTTTATCACTCATATTCAACATAGTACTATCCTAGCCAGAGAAATTAGACAAGAAAAAAGAATAAAAGGCATCCAAATAGAAATGAACAAATGGTATGATCTTACATATAGAAAACCCTAAAGACTTCACCAAAAATCTCTCAGAACTACTTAATTCAGTGTAGTTGCAGGTTACAAATCAAAATACAAAAATTCATTGTATTTCTATACACTAATAACTATCTACTTGAAAAAGAAGTTTATCCCATTTTTATTAGCACGTTTTACAAAAAGTGATGAAATATTTAGGACTAAATTTACCCAAGAAGATAAAAAAAATCTGTACATGGAGAACTGTAAGACATTGATTAAAGAAACTGAAGAAAACACATATAAATAAAAAAATACCCTGTGTTCATGGAGTGAAAAATTAATATTGTTAAAAATATATATACTTCCCAAAGCCATCTATAAATTTAATGTAATCCCTGATAATTTCAATGGCACTTTTCACAAAAATAGAAAAAAATTTCTAAAATTCATGTTGAACCACAAATGACCCCAAATAGCCAAAGCAAGTTAGAGCAAGAAGATAAAAATTGAAGGCATCACATCTCTTGTTTTCAAATTATACTACAAAGCTATAGTAATCAAAACAGTATGGGTACTGGCATAAAATAGGCCAATGGAACAGAACCAAGAGCCTAAAAGAAACCATGTGTATATGGTTAAGTGACAAATATTTGACAAAGGAATCATGACTACTCAACAGGGAAAGGATAGTCTCTTCAATTAATGGTGTTGGTAAAATTGGATATTGACATGCAAAAGAATGAAATTGAACCCTTATCTTACACAACTCACAAAAATCAACTCAAAATGAATTACAGACGTACATGTAAGACCTGAAATAGTAAAGCTCCTAGAAAGAAAAACTCCATGACATGGGTCTTGGCAATGATGTTTTGGATGTGATACCACAAGCATAAGTGACAAAAGCAAAAAGAAACAAGTGGGACTACATCAGACTAAAAAACTTCAGCACAGGAAGATGCTCTTAAGGGAAGTTGGTGGGAGCTTTCTGAGGCACCTACATTTCTAAACATCTTCTCAGATATATCACTGTCAACTACTACTTCTCTGTGGAACCATGGAAGATGACCAGGGAAGCTGCACCGAAAGCATCCCTTCCATGCTGTCTTCTGAGGTAGGTAAGCTGTGAATTTGTGGCAAATACATAAACACACATAGAACCTGTGAGTTGTGTGGGAGTTTGATCAGTGGCAAGCAGTCCAGCAGAGTATACTGGTACACATGTATGACTATTTCATCTGAAGTAGAGGAAACTGAGACCAGCAACAGAGAAGCAATGAGAGATGAGAAAGACTAACCTTTTGACAGCATTTGAACCTTAGGATGCAGTCATCCCTGAAGCCAGATTCAGTGCTGCCCTTCCCAGTTATATAAAAATGCTCTTCAGTTCAGTACCTTCCTATTGCAAATTAAAGTGTCCTGTTACAGAAACTGGAACCAGGAGTGGCAGACCTAAATTGTGAAACTGCTTGAGTCAAGATAGGGAAGATAACAATGGAGGCATCCCTGTCTCTGGCAGAAAAGTTGGAATCACTGGTATATAGAAGTAAAGCAGTGGGTAGAACTGTTACCTAGTGTATTTTCCCTTAGGCAAAGCCCCGGCCACCCTAGAAATGGCAACTTTATAAACTTGGTGGAAAGACATCAGGGTGTTGGAGAACTGGGAAGGCTAGACGCCCCAGAGCCTCCACCAACACCTCTACCACTGTAGTCTCAGTAGCCTCTGCCTTACAAGGGTTGTATCCCTCCCCATTTCCAGCGTTAGATGCGTCCTGGGGATGGAGGCAGCTCTCCATTGTTTCGTTTTCCTGCGAGCCAGAGACCAAGACAGATAATGTTCATCTAAAGCCCAGGGGATTTTTAGCAATTATTACTAGCCAATGAGGCTACCCAAAATGATAAAATTGGGCCAGCCACTGAGGGTTCCAAGCAAATTGTAATGTCCCCTTGGCAACTAGAGATCTGTGATTGTTCACTTCTTAAGCCAGCCCTCCAAGCCTCTATCTCAGAGAGTAGGTTGCAAAGCAGTAGAGACCCCAGAGGAGGAAGTCTCCTGACCATCCTCTGAGGCATGGTGATAAAGCCAATGGACATGGGAGATCCTCCCAGTCGAAGGCTCTGAAGCCCCCACACAGGCTATGGAACCCATTGCATGTCAAGAGAAGGGAGTGGACAGATAGAATCCACTGTTTCGATCTGGCTGGAGGAGGCTGCTTCCTCCTCTGTGATCCATTTCTGAAAGTGGCACAGCCCCGCCTCTCTTCCCTCCCTACCAACTTCTCTCCATGTGGGGCCACCACCCCATTTCTAGCCTTAGGTAATTCTATTTCTCTATCTGCTTAATAATTATTCAACTATCATGTAACCATAATAGATAACATACAGAAAATGAGAAGCCTTTAGTCACACAGGGGCTATTTCTCCATTTTTACCAATTCTCCAATAATTTCAGGGGCCTGGTAAAAGACCAAACCCACCTATATAAATGGGTTGCCATTTAAGGTAATCACAGAGACAGACATGAAACAAAAAAGATTTTATGTAACATTTATTTTTTTTATCCCATCCTAATTTTGACTTTATTCCTCATCTCCTATTCCAATTCTTTTCTTGGAAATCCAAACTTTTTTTTTAACAGAATGTTTAAAATCATGATTATCTAGAGTCAAAACAAAATTTTCTTCTCTCCAAAAAGGAGGGAGGGACATAGCTTTTATTCTTATGCAGCATTTTCAAATATCCAAGTTAATATATATTTTTAATAAACTATTTAAAATAAAACCCTTCATCCTTTGAGGTTATTGGCATTGTCTAGTTCACTGACACATCTCCAAAAATACATTAGTTCTATTCATTTTCAGGAATGAAGTGGGGAATACACTAAAAAATAGGATTTTAATCCCTGAGGTGCCAGTTAAAATGGACGAGGTTGCCGTTGCAACACATGACATAAAAAAGTCAGCCTTAAATAATAAGCACGGTTCATGCTCTCTGGGTCAGAATCGCCTCCACAGCACGAAGTCACTTAGACAGTTGCGTTTACAGGGTTAGGTTCACCCTGCTGCTCCTAGCCCTCACGCTATGATCATCTTTCCTTTCATAAAGGAGTAACACATAGCTATGAAGTCTGCAGAAACTTCTGAGATCCTCAGAAATCATGAGAAACCACAGTCCTGTTTCTCTCATCTCCATCCACATTATTGGAGAGAGTTCTTGAGCACCATTCCAAGACCTGGAAAGGTTGATAAACCGACTTGGTTTTTCTACTTCTCCATAACGTTAGGCAAAAAGGAGAAATCAGTCCTTCTGTCTAGAAAACAGGGTGTACTGCTTATCTCCGGCTTCCGCGGTAACCTTAGAAGAACTGTGCCCACCTTCCCCGCAGCCCCCCTGCCTTGTGGAAGGCTTCCAGTGGTGCGGGGTCTGCTCCTGCCGCTAGTAGTAGCGGTTCAGGCTCCTGGTCCCGGGAACCTCGGGCTGGCCGTTCAGCCAGATCTCCCTGAGGATGCGCTCCCGCTCCTCCAGCCGCTGGGCGCGCTCCAGCTCCTCCGCTGACGTGAAGACGTTCTTGTTCAAAGTCTTCTCAAAGCGGCGGTGTCTCCTGACCGAGATGTCAGATGCCGTGTCTGAGCTGCCATCCTCACTGTCGCTGCTGTCGCTGCTGCTGCTCTCTTGGTCCTGCAGGAACTTCCTCCGGGGACGCCGCTGGCAGTCCATGTGGCAAGAGATCCTCATCACCAGGGCAGCCAAGGTGAGGATCAGCCCGATGCACACGCCAGAGACAAAGTACAGAGCTGCTCGCTCAGGGTTTTCTGGAGGAGGAGAAAGAAGATAGCACTTGAGAGATGGCAACTCCAGCCCACCTCGTACACCTCTCACCAGACCCCAAAGCTTTTATAGTTACAAATACAGTGACAAATCACATAGTGCATTCAAAATATAATTACCCACCAGTGGTGAATCTGGGTAAGGAGTGTGTGGGATTCTTTTACTATGCTTGTAACTTGAAATTATTTCAAAATGAAAAGTTAAAAGAAAGAAAAATTTTTAGCACTTACTATACGCAAGCAACTATGCTTAGATGTCATCTGACTGAGAGCATTTGTCTAAAGGTTATTTTAGCCTACATTAGAAAAATCTTTGCTTCTTCATTTGCTCCGGCAGCCCCTTGAGTAACCTGTTAATCACATTTGTAGGCAGCTACTGCTTCTTCCTCTTCTTTATCTTCTTCCTCCTCTTCCTCTTCTTCCCATCCTCCCTTCCCACCGCATCACCCCACATTCTCCTCCTCCTCCTCTTTGTTCTTTTTTGACAATAAATTTATAATTAATGCCAAGGACAGTCTTTTTTATTCTAAGTATACCATCACAGGCCTTGTCAAAAAAGGTAGGTAGGCAGTTTCCAAGATGCCCCCCACCTCTTGGTATTCACACTCTTAGATAGATGCAAGCACCTCCCTTTGAGGGCAGCTGGACCTAGTGGGCTGGGCTAGACCCAGTGACTTACTTCTAACAAACAGAATATGGCAAATGTGATGGATGAGTCTAAGCTTAGATGACATAAGACTGACTTCCAGCATGCTCTCCAGATTTTCTCACTGGCTCACTCTGATGAAGCCAGCTGCCAGGTTGGGAGCTGCCCTACGGAGAGGCCCGTATAGAAAGGAACTAAGCATACCCTCTGGCTAACAGCCTGCAAAGAACTGAATCATGCCAACTGCCATGTCATTGAACTTGGAAGTGAATCCCCCTGGTGCAGCCTTGAGGTGACCACAGCCTTGGCCTCACAACAACCTTGTGGGAGACTGTGAATCAGAGAACCCAGCCACGCCAAACCCTGATCTCTGACCAACAGACACTGAGAGATAATAAATGTATGCTGTTTTAAGCCATTAATTTTTTAGGTAATTTGCTATGCAGCAATAGATAATTTATACAATCACATATGGAAAGCCAGTGTAGGCATTTTGGAATGACATCCCCAGGTTAATTTGCAGAAGAGGTATTTGAGCTCCTCCTTGGCAAGAGAAGAAAGTAATCATTCTGCAGATAAGCATTCTATGGATATGCTTGGTGTACCCAGTGTTGATCACTGCATGACATGCTCAGTGGAATGAGAGCTTTGGGTAAATAGGTTCCCTTTCTAGGTAGGTGTGAGAACGTGGGACGTGCCTGGTCTTTAGTCACAGGGCATCATCAATTTGACAGGACCTGAAATTGACACCAACAATTTAGTTCTCTATAATCTATGTTTATTGGTAAATATGAATTAAAATGTACCTTGTTTTGTGGCTTTTTAAAGACTATAAGTGGGATCATATATGATACACATTTACTTTTTAAATTTAAGAATATTTCCTAGACAGTCGCAGATATGTCACCAGCATTGTTTTTGCCTGCCTCATAGTGTTCGTGTTATAGACCTACCAAAGTTTATTTAACCATTTCCTTATTAATAGCATATAAATTATTTCCAAATTTCTCACTATTACGATCAATGCTAGAGTTAATATTCTTGTATACATCTCTTTATGAGCAAGTGGAATTACTTCTACAGGTTAGTTATCTAGAAACAGTTGCACCAAAGGACATAGGCATTTTGAACCTTTGTGCATTCTACATTGTATTCCAAAAGGCTCTATTAGTCTAAACATAGCATATTGAACATACACATTTATGACCCCTCTTCTCTCTGAAACCCACCAAAATGCCAGGGGAGTGAATAAAATAAATAGGAAGTATAGATACAAAGAGAAGAGTAGAGAAAGAAATAGAAAACACAAATAGTCAGTACAAGAACAGTCAGTAGCCCTGATTGGTGTAGCTCAATGGATTGAGCTTCAGCCTGTGAATCAAAGGGTCGCTGATTCAATTCTTAGTGAGGGCACATGCCTGGTTGCAGGCCAGGTCCCTAGTGGGGGTCATATATGAGGCAACCACACATTGATGTTTCTCTTTCTCCCTCCCTTCCCCCCTCTAAAAATGAATAAATAAAATCTTAATAAAAAAAACAGTCAACAAGCAATGTAAATGCAGTGAAAGGACAGCAACATCAGCATTATGGCACATAAGCTATCTCTATTATTTGTTCCCCTTTGAAACAACTAATTAGGCATCTATCCACAGACAGAAGTTTCTCTGTGGAGTTGTTCTTTCCAACATGTGCCAAGGGACCCAGGAGGAGTCTCACCCACATGTGCATCTGGTAACAGGCAGATAGACTTTGGTTTGGGCTTCAGAACCAGAGGAGCCAGCAAACCTGCCCCAACTACCCAGTTAGGGAAAACCTGGAGAGTGCTGACTTGGGCAAATACCCACAGCCAGAGAAAATTTGTAAATCCATCCTTCCAGAGGGGAATTCTAGCATACCATTGGAGCAAACAGACAAACAAAATGAGTTGGGATTCAGTAAAAAAGGGGAAGAGAAACTTCCAGTACTTCCCCCCAAGTGACAAAGCACAAGACTGACTATCCCATGGAGACCTCTCCACAGGGCAAAGAGAAGAGCAGTGTGTGAGCGCCCAGCTACCCCAGCTATGCTGGATGCTGCAGGACAAACCCATTTCTCACCAGCAACACCAGAGTATTGAAGCAGGGTCTCCATGACTGAAGGTAGGGAGGAGATTGAAAAAGACAGGTAAAAATATCAAAGGGCATTAAAGTGACAGGGTTACTGCTGACTACATCAGGAGTTCAGCAAGAAGTTCTCCCAGGAACCTCTGGGAGACCTCAGGGAGGAATGTCTCCACCAGCTAGCAGGTACCCCCAATACCCCAAGTGCTAATCCCACATCTGTCCCCACTCTACAGTGGCTCCTTGTACACTCTCCAAAACTGGCAGCAAGTAAGCTTAGTAAATAGAGTGCTATCAGAAAAACAGAACAGAATCTGTGGGCAAGAGAGAAACCAGAAACTTGATCTATAGCACCACCTTCTGGAAAACAAAACAGAAGTTTTCAGCAACCAGCCAGGTGAGTTGAAAAACCATGCAGGAGTCAAACAATGAATGCATAAATAAATGACCAACAAATCAATATTCCTCTGTCTCTCTTTTCCTCTCTCTCTCTCAAGTATCAATAAATAAAAAAAGACATAAAAGCTACATAATTCTGCTACAAGGAGAATTGCAGAGCAGATGTGTAAATAAAAGGTCAGAGAGTGCTCCAGCTATAACAGCTTCAACAGACGGTATACCCCACGTGAAGGCAACTAGAAAAGATCTAAGGAGGTATCCACTATATCAAAGGCGAAATCATCAATGCAACCACCCAGCAGTTAGGGAAATGTAAATCTAAGGAACATGAAGAATCAAAAATTAAAAAAAAAACAACTGTCATCACCAAAGATAATAATCCTTCAAATAACTGAGTTCAAAGGCACAGAATTTTGCGATGTAGCAGATAAAAAATTCAAAATAGCTGTTTTGAGGAAATAAAGAAAGAAAAACACAAAAGACAATTCAACAAAATCAGGAAAAAATACACAAACAAAATGAGAAGTTTAGCAAAGAGATAGAAAATATAAAAAAGAATGAAACTAATTCTGGAACTGAAAAATTCAATGAATGAAAAAAATTCAACACAGGAAATTTGCAGCAGGGTAAATCAAATGGAAGACAGAATAAGCAACCTAGATGATAGGAAGCTTGAAATAACCCAATTAGAGGTAAACAGAAAAAAAAAAGAATGAAAAAAAAGTGAAGAAAGCTTACATGATCTCTGGGATTCAACCAAACACAAATATTAGCATAATCGGTGTTCCAAAAGGAGAAAAGATGAAGAAGGGTTCAGAAAGTTTATTTAAAGAAGTAATAGCTGAGAACTTCCCAAATCTGGAGAGAGACTTAGACATCCAAGCTCATGAAGCTAATAGCTCAATGCAAAAAGACCTTCTCCAAGACACATTATAATGAAACTTTCAAAAATCAAAGAAAAAGGACAAATCCTAAAAGCAACTGAGAAAATGTTGTAACATCCAAAGAAACCCCCATTCGGCTACCAGTGAGTTTCTCAGTAGAAACTATACAAGCCAGGAGAGTGGAATGACATATTCAAAGCACTGAAAGAAAAAAATTGCTAGCCAAGAACACTGTATCTGGAAAATTATCCAGACATGAAGGAGAAACAACTTTTCCAGAGACACAAAAGCTGAGGGAGTTCATCGCCACTAGACCTGCCTTGAAAAAAAAATGCTGAAAGGAGCCCTTCAAGCGGAAATGAAAAGGTGCTAATAAGTGACATGAAAATATGTGAAAGTATACAATACACTGGTAAAGATAAAATATACAGTCAGTCTTAGAAAACTCTATTTCTGTAATAGGATAGTGTGTTAGACAGTTAACTACAGGATAAAAATTAAAGGAAAAGAGTACTAAAAATAACTATAACTACTATAATCTGTTAATAAATACACAACATAAAGAGAGGTAAATTGTGACATTGAAAATGTAAAGAGGCAGCTCTGACTGGCGTAGCTCAGTGGATTGAGCTCAAGCTGTGAACCAAAGTGTCGTAGGTTCGATTCCCAGTCAGGGTACATGCCTGGGTTGCAGGCCATGTCCCCCAGCAACCGCACATTGATGTTTCTCTCTCTCTCTCTTTCTCCCTCCCTTCCCTCTCTAAAAATAAATAAATGAAATCTTAAAAAAAAAGAAAATGTAAAGAGGCAAATAAAAGGGTGGAGGTTTTGTATGCAACTGAAAGCTTTCAATCTTTCATCAATGTGTCTGATGTCAACTGTGGATTTGTCATTTATGACTTCTATTATATTGCAGTATTTTTCTTTTATATCAAATTCATTAAGGGTTTTATCATC